TACTACTACTACTACTACTACTACTACTACTACTACTACTACTACTACTACTACTACTACTACTACTACTACTACTACTACTACTACTACCACTACGACCACCACCACCACCACCACCACCACAACTACTACTATTATAACTATAGTTTATAAAGTATTTCAAATTTTCTATTTTTATTTTTTCCGTTCACTATTTTGATATTCACACTTATTATTATTATTAGTATTCCATTTTTAATATAAACAATATAGAGTATAATTGTATTGATTTTTTTTAAATTTACATGACACTAAACTATATTCCAAAAATTATGGATATTTTATTAGTCTAAATTGACTAGGAAAAAACATTAATATTTTAAATTAACAAATAATAATTATACTATTCCCTTTGCTCTTAATTAAATGATATGTACACTATTCACATGTTCAATTTTTAATCATTTTATTTAGCTATTATGAATGTAATAATAATAATAATACTAATACTAATAAGACCTATTACTTGCTACAATGTATCTGATGGATACCCTGGATAAGGGGTGTCCGGTCTTTGTATAATATTAGTTGGGGCGGTCTAGTCTGTTGGACCGGCCCGTTAGTCCTACGTTAATTATTTATTTAAGGGCGGCCCAGTCTGTTGGGCCGACCCATTTGTTCGGAACCCTAACCCTGGCTCTCCCTATTTATACTCCTCTTCTTGGAAGAGGAGAAGGAGGTTGGAAGGAGGGAGGCTTAACACCAATCTTCGTACACTTTCTCTTTCTTCCTCTACCCTTGGGCTCCATAACCCAATAATGCCTATCTCACTTACCCGAGCAGCTCTCATTTGAAGACCCCGGTCTCACTAAGGATGACATCAAGGTTTGTTCTAGACCAGACTACTACACGATCGGCACATTCCGTTGATCAGGCCTATCTTTTGTCTAAAACTTTGGACCCAACTCATATGTTGACTTACTTTTCTCGGCCGCGTGGTGATCGGCCCATCCGAGCTCGCGAGCGCCTTGTGCTTTTTCTGAACTTATTTTGTAGGTTAAAAGGATGAGGAAACTAGGCTCGGCCTCAGCCACCTCGTGGGGCACTCGAGCTCGGCCCCAACCACTCGAGCTCGGCCCCATCCGCTCAATCTCGGCCTCATCCACTGAAGCTTGGCCTCATCCGCTCAAGCTCGGCCCCAACCACTCAAGCTCGGCCTCATCCACTCAATCTCGGCCTCACCCGCTCAAGCTCGGCCCCAACCACTCAAGCTCGGCCTCATCCGCTCAAGCTCGGCCTCATCCGCTTAAGCTCGGCCTCAGCCACCCAAGGTCGGCCTCATCCGCTCAACCCCGCCGGCACCGAGCATAGACACTACTCCCCCTCACCTCGGAATTCTTCCTCGGCTTAGGGAGTGGGGGACTCTGGGTGCTCGGCTTGTAATTGTTACATTTCACATCAGGTTGGTGATCGACATCCCGACCTTGTATCAAACCGCAGTAGTCCGTGTCGGCATGCACTCGCCGGCAATCCATTATGCCGAACAGCCCTCGACTCCGGACAACGAGTCCGGGGGACTTGAAGATCACCTCTTTTGAAATTCACACAGAAGACCTCACCCCCTAGCAATGTTTTCTGATCCACTCTGTGGGACGAGATGTACTCTCTTCTTGACCGAGGATTTTTTCCCATCCTCATGGGTTTTTTCCTCGGCAAGTTTTTAATGAGGCATCCCCCGTGGGGTGGGTCACACATTGACAGGATTGTAGGAGGATGACGACTTATTCATCCACGAGAGTTATGAACAGCAGACCAACGATGTACTCTGTACGAGAGCAGATCATTTAAAGACAATGAGCAGATGGAGGCAAACCTTTTCCCATTTGCCACTCCGGACAGCGAGTTGGCATCGCCTTTCATGCTCATTGCTACGATTTCTTTCACTTTGCCATTACGGACAGCGAGTTGGCAGTGCACTTCATGCTGATTGCTACTACTTTCCCATTGTCGTTCTGGACAGCGAGTCGGCAATGCACCTCGTATCCATGGGTGCAGATTCTTTCACCTCGCCTTACCCTGGACAACGACTTGGCATTACATTTCAGACTGATGGCGTTGCGTGCCTTACTTCATCGTGCTCGGGATAGAGAGTTGGCGGTGCACTCCAGACAGCCAGGAAGACGGTGTCCTTCCGTGGTGAATTATGGTTCTACTTCCACTTCACCTCGAGTTCCTCTCGGCTCGAGAAGTGGGGGACTCATGATGGATACCCTGGACAGGGGGTGTCCGGTCTTTGTATAATATTAGTTGGGGCGGTCCAGTCTGTTGGACCGGCCCGTTAGTCGTATGTTAATGATTTATTTAAGGGCGGCCAGTCTGTTGGGTCGACCCATTTGTTCGGAACCCTAACCCTGGCTCTCCCTATTTATACTCCTCTTCTTGGAAGAGGAGAAGGAGGTTGGAAGGAGGGAGGCTTAACACCAATCTTCGTACACTTTCTCCTTCTTTCTCTACCCTTGGGTTCCATAACCCAACAGTATCTATAAAGTTATATCCAAAATAGAGTGCTTTTGTAAAAGGGAGAATCTTAGTTCATAATGTCTTACTTTGTCATGAACTAGAGGGTATAAGAGGAAAGGTATATCCCCTAGGTGTTTAATTAAACTAGATATCAGGATGGCTTATGATTCTATGAGCTGGAAGTCTATTATACACATTAAAGAGTTGTTGGATTCTCCTCACTAATTTGTTTCCTCAATTGTGCAATTCATCTCCACCCCAACTTACTTTATACAGATTAATGGAAAGAGCTATGGGTACTTCAAGAGAATGAAAGTATTTAGGCAAGGGGAACCTATCTCCCCATTGCTCTTTGTATTAGTTATGGAATATTTGAATAGGCTCCTTCAACAAATGGCACAAAACAAAGGTTTCAAGTTTCATTCTATGTGCGGGTCCCTCAAACTGGTCAACCTCGGTTTTGCAGATGGCCTGAACAAAGTTTGTAAGGCTAAGGAAAAATCTTTAAACTGTATCATGGAAACACTAAGGACCTTTCATCAAACCACTGGATTGAGTATAAATCCTACTAAGTCTCAAATCTTCTTTGGAGGTATGGATATGAAGAGGCAAAAATATCTTCAGAAGATAACCAACATGTCTCTAGGAGAACTATCCATAAAATATCTGAGAAACCCCATTACTGCATCAAGAATCAATGATAAGGAGTGTGATAGGTTAGTAACCAGCCTAACCTCTAAAATTACTTCCTAGGCTTCTAAACATTTGTCTTATGCTAGTATATGTAAACTAATTAACAGTGTCCTTTTTGGGATTATGTCTTTTTGGAGTCAGCTTTACATCATCCATACTAATGTAATGAGGAAAGCTCAAGGCATTTGTACGAATTTTCTTTGGATATCTACTGCCAATTACTCCAAAATATCTATGGTTAATTGGGAGGAGGTCTGTTTACCTAAAATATAAGGGGGGGTCTTGGCTTGACAAATATGCATGGTCTTATAAAATAGGGTCTTTACTCATAACTACTCGTGGGATGTCGCTAGAGAGAAAAAGAATCTTTGGGTGAAATGGATTCATGAAAGATATCTTAAAAAGGAGAAGAGGAACTACAAGATTAAGGGGGATTTCTCTTATTACCGGAAGAAAATTACGAAGAATAGGGGGTGGTTTCAATATATGCATTTGACTAAAGACTATACTACTGAAGAGGGTTACACATGGTTGATGGGGATGAGGTAGAAAATAGATAGGACTCCTTTTGTTTGGAATAAGATGACCTTTCCTAAACGCAAGTTCCTTACTTGACTCATTTTTAGAGGAAGAATAAGTACTAAAGAAAGGATTGGGAGGTATATGGATATTGACAGAACCTGTTTATTATGTAAAGCCATAGATGAAGACACTAACCACATATTTTGCAACTGCCCCATCACCAAAGCATTATTTATCAGGCTTCAGATGGGTAGGGCTATAGATTTCAAGGGACTACGTAAGATTGAAGAAATCAGGAATAGCCTAATGGCTCTTGGAGGAAGGAGAAGACATAAGTGTATTGGCATTTATGTAGATGTTTGTTATAGTGTCTAGATCAAGGAAAGAAACAGGCTCACCTATAAGCAAGAAAGCCCTCATGAAGAGAGTATGTTAGAGGGATTCTTCTTCATAGCACATCATATTAGGAGAGGGGAAAACAAAGAAGGTCAATAATCAATTTTGTTTGTTTTTGTACTTAATTGAGGTGTTTTGAATTAGCTTTGTAAAAGCTACTCACTCCGTCCTATAAAACATTTCCTGTTTCAAAAATGGCACGCCTTTAAAATGAGTAATTTTAGTGTTATTTTTTAATTATGACTAATCTATTCTACACATCTCATCCTACTCTTTTTAGCTAATAACACCAAAATTACTCATTTTAAGGGCGCGCCTTTTTTGAAAAAGGAAATGTTTTATGGGACGGAGGGAGTATAATCTTTGATGATTTAGGTTGTGAAATATTATGTGCATTTGGTTCAAATAATAATAATACTATATTAAATACAGTTAAATAAACTTTTAGAGTATTTCCAGTTTGTTCTAATTTTTTTCAGTTTCTTCTAATTTTCTCTAGTCTTTTCGAGTTCCTTCTAATTTTTTTTAATTTTTTTCCAATTTCTTTCAATTTGTTTCAACATCAAATCTTTTTCAACCCTAAAGAATAGGCTCTAATTAATCCTCTCAATTCCTACATTGGCCGAATATAAGCATTCCCAATTTGTATTTCTCTTTTTGCCCATTTGCCTTAATTTTCCATATGTCGGACGTAATTTTCCATCTTCCATCCCCACGAAATCTTTCATCACTTTAATTTTTTTTTAAAAAATTTTTTGGATTTCCTATTCCATTTAGACCTTTGGGTATCTTGATGGGGAAAGCATCATTTCATCTTTATTTAAAATTTTCTTTTTTAAATAAAACTTGATGGGGAAAGCATCATTTTTAATAAAACTTGTTTGCAATGAATTAAACTATATTTTAAAAATTTTAATGCATGCTTAATTCAATTTAAATTAATCTCATATTATCATATGATTAAATGAAAATACGTCAACTTAAAGGGATAAAGCTTTTTTATTTATTGAACAAAAAAAATTAAGCAAAAAAAATTATTATGAAAAGAATGTATAATTAACATGTAGAAGAGAGAAAAGGCACGTAGGATGCCAACTCATTACTCCGTCGCCAGAATATGACAATTCTGACTAGGAGGCATCACTTTGTTATAATTCTTAAAGATGGGGTATGATTTTATTACAAACATAAGATAGGGTACTATTTTGTTACAATATCCAAAGTTGGAGTATCCTGGTAGGAAAAAACTAAAATAATTGCATTACTTAAAGATTAATGGAATACATGATAGAGTATATGTTGAAGGAATGACAACCCCAACTAGAAATAAAACACACAATAATAGAAGTTGACTAAATACAAAATCTACCATAAGAAATAGGGAGTATTAAATACTTATGGAAAAAGTGTACCCATATTCTACAGTCTACACCACATGTGTGCATATTGATTTTTGCCAGGGTGATGATTCGCACGGAAAGAAATAATAGTGCAAATTTTTTTGATCGCACTAACATTTTGTGTCAGTATAAACCATCAAAATATCAGAAAATTACATAAAGGTGATGCGAGTTTTGTTAAAATAACTCCGAGATTCCTCTATTTTCAAGAAGAAAATAGAGGTCTTTACATTTTGTTGTAATGATTGGGAGGAGACATTTCATTCAATACTTCATTTATAAGCATTAATAAATAAATTTTTTCCTATTTTGCAATAACTATTTTATGTTAACAACTTTTAGGTCCCTCACTTTAGTCTTTTTGTTTAATTTCCTTTTTTGTCTCTTTTTTTTCACTTTCTTTCCTTTTTCATAAATATTTTATTTAAAACTTTAATTTCTTCTAGAAAATAGTTTCAAAATTTTAAATTTTTCATAATATAAAAATAAATGAAATAAGTACCTTATCAAAAAAGAAAGTTGGATCTCTTTTTTTAATATTCCATACAAAATATTAAAAAAATCTTGAGGAGTTTCTAGCGAATTTGTTTTGTTATTTTTCAATTTTTTTAATTTTACTCGGTTTTTTTATTTTTTTATAGAATTTTTTATTTCATTTGTTTTTATATCATACAAACAATAATTTTGAATTTTCATACGATTTTATAGAGAAAATTCAAAAAAACACTTTAAAAAAGAGTAACAAAAAAAGAAAAAGAAAGAAATAAAAAAAGAGCGACCCAAAAGTAATTCCCATAAAACATGGGGTCATGTCCCTGCATATATAAAATGGCTACTTTAGATTCCTTTATATGTAAACAAAAAATGCACTTTTCCTTAAAATGTAAATCGGAGTAGCTTACTCCGTTTAGAGTATAATATTTGGTCAAAGAAGTAGCCAACTCCGTTCCGAATTATTATTTAATGGAAACGGAGTACCTAACTCCGTCCCTCTTTAAATCAATTTTTTTCTTAACTTGTCAACTTCATTCCTCATTTTTTTAAATCAATTTTTGTTTATTTCTCATAATTGAAAAAACAAAAAACTATCATAAAAATCAGCAATTTAATTAAATATAATGAAACAAATAATCTACTAATATTAAAATTCATAAATAAAATAAATATTTATTGACTAAATAATGCACCATACACCGAAATTAATGGCGGTGACGATGATGGCGGCGGTGGGCATCACCGTCGACGACGATTGCGATAGTGGTCGTCGCTGTCGGTAGCATGTTGTTGTGAAATTGGCCGAATTTTTTTAGTTTTGAACTTTGCCACCACTGGTATTGGCCGCATATTCTTAATACTTTATTACCGAGTAGCATATTCTTCATCCTCCCAAACCGCATCACACCTATGGTCTCCCGCTTCAAGTACTAAAACATCTCGTAAAATGGGTCCTAGATGTACATTCATTTGCTTCAAGGATTA